AAGATGATGCAATTGAATCCTTGGAATCATGCTTCAACTCAATTGGTCATTTGCTAGGTCAAAAATCAGAGATTGCCCTTTCTCAGTCAAAACCCTAATTTTGACCATTTTGCCCTTTTGATAATTTGATCAAATTCCTTGAGGAATTGTGATCCAAACTTGATCAAATGATACATATGAGTCTAGAATATTGATGTGGATAAAAAAGATATGAAGTTTGATTGTAAATTGGCCATGGTTGATTTTTTTCCCAATACAGTTGACTTTTAGGTCAACTGTCCAATTGACTGATCAAAAATAGGGTTCAAGGCTTGAAACTTGTCATGAGTAATCTTAGGGATCCATAATTATGTTTGAAAGTCATATGAAGTATTGATAGTCCAAGAATCCTTGGGAAAACTCAAACCCTAATTTTGGGTCAACAGTGTAAGATGAGACGTCTTGAGCTGACCAAACCCTAATCCAGTCTTGAGTTTAAGAGATCTTGCGAGAAAAGTCTTGATAAATGAGAGGGCAAATTTTGGGGTACAACGTAGTCATTCACCCACTCTGAAGGGTATTCTTCAGTGTTGACATACACAATTTTCTCTTCATTTTTTATGATTTTTTGAAGTTCTGGCCTTCTCAGCTTTCAGGCGTTCGACTTGTCAAACCCTATCGGCCAATTGCGCCATACCCCTAAGGTAATGGGTGTCTAACTTCTTCCTAATGGAATAATTTAACCCACCGACAACCATTTCAACATGTTCATGTTCAGGGACTTTGGTGAAACACCTAGCTTTAAGTAATCTGAACCTGTTTAAGTAATCATCTGTCGAATCAATTGTTTTTCGCCTAACATTAGACAACTTTTTCAATCTTATCTTAGATTGAACCATGTAAAATTGTTCATAAAAAATGCACTTTAACTGATCTCACGTTCGTATAGAATTTGGGGAAAGAGTTGTATACCATGTGAACACATTCTTAGTCAACAAACTGGGAAAGTATCTCATTTTTAAACCTTCATCGTTAGCAATATCCCCATCTTCAGTCTCAAACCTAGTTATATGTTTGACAGTTGAATCATTCGTATTGCCAGTGAACTTAGTAAACTTAGGCACTTTACACCCCCTAGGTAATTCCGCCTATCAAATATAATCAGGCAAATGGGACGTATAATTTGGTCTGTGTAGACCAACATTAAGCTCACTTTGTGTCAACACTTCTTCGACTACAGTCGCTATGTTGTTTCATCCTGTGAAATTATTCACATTCCTAAGGACGCGATCCACATCTTGGTTTCTTCACACTAAGACTGGCCTATGTTCGTATTGATCTACATACTCCTCTTCTTCGCCAAGAACAGGTTTTGGTGCTCTAAACCTAGCAGGAAGTTTGTAGGCTATTGGAGCTGGCTCCTCTTTTGCTACCTCCATTTTCCTCACATTTGGCCTCACAGGCCTTTGGCGAGTATGTACTGGTTTAACACAAAATGAATCAATAAGTCGACCAATTTGGTCTACCATTAGGTTAAAAATGATACCTATTTATTGAGTCATATTATTTACTAACTCGAGATTACTTTCGTCCATCTGTTGTCTTAACGCCATCACTGAAGTCGTATTCAATGATAGTGTCGTCTAGGGGAATATATCATATTCCCCCTGTTCGACCACTAGTATTTGTAGTCACATAAGGAATACTCTGATAATGAAAAGGTGGTGGCTCGGTAGCCATCATATTATCAGCATAAGTTGATACATTTGACTGAAGACTAACCATCATCGACTGAGGCATACTATATTGGTATTGTCCTAGAGGCATGGATCCTATTTGAAATAACGCTCTCGTGGGGTTAAAATGTGATCCTCCCCCATATCCCGATCCCGTTGTGACCGTTTTCGTTAGACTAGTACTGTGGTCACCCATGATATGACATCCATGTTTTGTGAAGTAGTTTGTGTAGGATCTGAAGTGTTTATGTATGTGCTAGAATGTGACATTTTATATAACTGTTTCCCACTTCTCAAATTCATACATGACTTGCATACACCGACACAATAATTTAAATAACAAAAACACCAGAAAAGATTATTAGCATGCTCTCACTGAGCGTGCCAATTTATTTACCCTGGAATTTGGTAAATAACGCTAGTCTCTTGTTAAAGGTTGCTTTGCGAGATCGACTAGGGAATCTCAGGAAAATGCTTCAACTTTTAAGTGTTTTGAGATGGAAAAGTAACGAGTAACTCGAGTGCAAGTGACTTCAACATAGTGTGAAATCTACTAGTTTTTGTAAAATGATAGATAAAGTTAAACAAATTTGCAAGTTAACAAACGAAAATAGATTTTCAAAAACTTAAGTAAAGTTTAAAGTAAGTTTGCTTGGCATAAAAGAAAATCTGGTGATTTAAACATACATTGCTCTTGCTTGACTCATTTCGCTCTTTGCTTGGATACTCTTAGTGTTCTCCTAAGATGAGAGTAAGTTTGAATCCTTTTTAAAACTATGTACAATGTCTTATTTATAATACACAAAAGGTAACAACTCTTTTGGCGGGTTCATCTTCTCTGAGCGCCACACGTCCGTTAATTCTTCCATTTGTCACTCACATGTTCTCATGTTTCAAAAACCCATTAAGGGGAAGTCTTTCTCGCGTCTGTCTCTTCACAACTGTCCACCACGAACAACATCTTCATGTCGTCACCACATTTATGTCGACTTTCCCCTCTTCTCCTTTTGGCATTTTCCTTGTCGCTTATGGCCACACTTATACCTCTTAGCCAGAGTTGACCTTGGTCGAAATCCTGGATAACATCTTCCTTTTGTAAATACCCCACAAAAAGTAGAAGAAAACAAGTAACTTTAGTTAACACTCATTCGCAAGATTAACTAAATAGGCTTTGTTGAGTACAACGGATGTGAGGGATACTAATACCTTCCCCTTGCATAATTGACTCCCGAACCCTAACTTGGTTGTGATGACCATATCGTCGTTCTTTAAGGGGTTTGTTGATATTTTTCCTTTCCTTTAGGAATAAATAAACTTCGGTGGTGACTTTGTTGTATTTCTTATGCTCGGGTATTTTTTGCGCTACGATAGTGGGCATACTATTAAAAACACTCAAGATAGTGGATACTCTCAACTTTTCTTGAGGACAAGAGTATACCAAGTAATTAGGCCGAACCTATGTAAATCTCTGGTGTCTTACTCTCTCTCTTATCTCTTTTACTTTTCAGTTATTTTCTTTCCTCTGTTTTTCTATCCATCTCTTTATTCCACTGCTTATTTACTTGTTTTTGTTTTACAAAGGTTTTCAAACTTTGATTTTACTAAAGATTTTGTTTTCAAATAATGTTTTTCAAACATCCACAATTTACCCTCTCTTATATATGGAGTCACGTGTCCAACACACATAACCCACAAGAATGAACCATATGATACACAAGTTCTCTCTAGTTGGAATCTTATCTTGGAGAAGTTACCAATAAAAAATCGTCACTTTTGAGGGAGCCCAACTGCACCAAATAGAAGCTAGAGTAAGTGTCAGACTAGCAAATGAAGGAGAGGGTGAAGAATTAGACTTAAAAACATTGCAATAGGTTGAAGCAACATAGTAGACATCATTGTCCCCAGGTAACCAACACCAATAGTCACTCTCCAATCAAAAGATAACTCTCTCGATAGTCAGGATTAGGTCATCCACCAAATTTTGCTCATAGTTAAAAAGAGACCTTCTCCATCGGAAATTCCGAACCATGGCCCAATCTAACTAGATACTAATATCACCCACCTTCTTCTTTTTTTAGTTAGAGATAGGGAAAATCCTATGAAAAGTAACTCTAAGAGGAATGAGCCTCACTCAAGGATCATCCCAAAAAGATATGAACATACCCGGACCCACTTTCCACCTAGAACCTTCCACGAACCAATCAGAGGTGTAACGAGGTTTAGAATCAAAGAGTGAAACCCCTTTCCACCCAGAAGAAGCAGACCGAAGTTTAGACACTATACCCCATTGTAAGAAGCGATAACTCGAATGCCATTGTAAGAAATTAAAATATTCCTCTAAAGACCATTGGTCTCAAAAATCTAGCACGACTCCATTTTCCTAACAAATCTAGGTTAACTAAGCAGAGGTCGTAGACTCCAAACAATCTCTCTTTTTAGGTTTGCACACATCCGTTCATCCAACCTAAGGGATCTTATCATTACCACTTTACCCCCTCCACATAAACTTCCTCTGAAACTTGACAATTCTCTTTCACGCGGCAGTCATTTTGAGGAAAGACAAGAAGAAAATGAGAATATCATTCAAGACCGAGTTAAGAAGAGTCAATTTCCCTGTTATGATATCATACTTATATTTCAGTTACTCATGGATTGTTTGAAAGAATCAATGTCTTAAATTTTGACTTGAACAATTATTTAAAAATAAACTATTATTTTTCTATTGAATTCTACATTTTTAGTGTCCTTTCTCTAAAATTGAAAGAATCAAAACAAAAAACATACAATTATTAAAGATCCCCTAATCAAATGATAAAACATGTATATTTTGTTTCAATGATGAAATAAAAGTAAAAATCATTTTCAAACACACATTTGTACATGAAATATTGAATGCCACTACTACCTTCCCTCACCTTTCCCATAGACTTCTAAACTACAAGAGATTAAACATCTATTTCACTATGGTTAAGTTGTCACTGCACACTATTATGAAACTCTCTGTAGCTCTTTCTTTTTATGTCTTGTTTTACAATGTTTCACGTCTTACCATTACTATCCATCATTAATAAATCATCTTCTCCAATTTCACACCTTTTGTATGTTATCCTAATTACCATTTTATTTCATTTCATTTGCATTTTTCATCTTGTGTAGTTAATTTGGGTATATGTATGTTTCTTTTTCTCTTCATATTGTGATAGAATCATAGGATTCATGTGTGTTTATGCATATGAGAATTAATACAAGTTGTTTCAATATTGGTTTGCAGATTTCTCAACCAAAATGGGTCCAAAGAAATGGTTTAAGATACTACTCAGAAGGAAGAAACATAAGGAAGATAAATCCAAACCAGAAAAGGTACAATCTCATTATGAACAAGACTGGTGAAATATACAAACAAGAAATTGTTCTCTTAGCAGTTATCAATGTTTGAATAGGTACAATCTACTGGTGAAATATCAAATGAATCCTCTAATGGGAAGCAAAGCCCTGGTGAAGAGTCGAGTATCACTCTGAATGAAGGTTTGATGATGGACAGGACGGTTCCATCCAGGTTGATTGACAATATTGCTGCTACTAGGATTCAAAATGCATTTCGTTCATTCATGGTACCATATCTTTGTGATCCTGGACTAGTTTTATTCCATTAGTATTACTATTTTCACACTAACTGTGATTGTACTGTTTGGTTGGTCAAATTTTACAACCTTAGAATGTTGAAGTTGTCTAAAATGTGATCTCAATGTGTGGGGCAAGGAGATCTATGTATGAGTTATACGTTTTGAGGATCTATAGGCTTACAACAACAACTACGTTTTATCCTATTAGATGAGGTCGGTTACATGAATCAACTTTCGTCATAATATTCTATCAAAGACCATACTTCTATCCAAATCATTAATTTTGAGATCCTTCTTAATAACTTCTATTCAAATCTTTGAATTTTAATGCCGAAGATGGTGTAGGATGAATGTTATTTTTATCCTCCAAATGGGAGCGTTTGGGTAGAGTAGATAGTGAACATTAAGGGGGAGGTGATTTGGTATTTCACCCATCATGTTTTAGAGCTAATAGGCCTAATCTTGATGTTGTTACTTTTTCGATTGTTTCCCCAAAAAAATTTGATCATGTCCTATCCATTCCTCTCTTCGGACATTAACCTAACTATGGGTCAATGTGAGGGGAATAAGAGTATGGAGAATGATGGGTTTAATTTCTCCTACTTTAAGAAGTTATGGCGTTTTCTTAAGAATCGTGTGTGGATCATGTTTGACCAATCTTTAATTTCTCTTTTCTTGCGTTCTACTTTGTCACATCAATTTCAAATGTCACTTCTCCCAACACTTTCTTATTTCTTTGGTTGATTTTTTATTCAAGCTTGTGGCAAAAGTGTTGATGATTTTTTATTCAAGCTTAACTTGTATTTGGTAATGGACAAATTGATCTCTCTTAATCAATCGATTTTTATAAGAGAAACTTTTAGTCGATGGTGTGGATAATGCCAATGAACTTGTTGATCTAGAAAAAAAGACTAAAAAAAGCATGTTTCATCTTCAAAGTCGACTTTGAAAAGACTTGTAATTCTGTTAGGTGGAATTTTCATGACTATAAGTTACGTAGGTTTGGATTTTCTAACAAATTGTTTGTCTGAATGCATACATATATCTTTTTTAAGAATCTAGTTGTCCTCGCCAACAGTAGTCTCTTATAGGAAATTACTATTTATAAAAGTTTAAGTAAGAAGATCCGTTAACTCCTTTTTGTTTTTATTTTCTTATGGTAATTGAGAATTTAAGTGGTTTGTTTAGGAAGGTGGTTGATATCGGCCACTTCAAATGTTTTAAGGTTGGGTCCTCTAATATGGAGGTCACTTTTCTATAGTATGAAAATGACATGCTTGTTTGGGGAGAGGCTACGATGAAGAATCTTGAGACTGTAAAAACTATTCTTCGGAGCCTTCAGTTGGCGTCGGGTCTCTGAATTAACTTCTCTAAAAGTAGCTTGATTAGGGTGAATGTGGCTTCGGATCTATGGCAATGGAAAAAGGATTTTTGTATTGTAAGAGACTATGTTACTCTTAGATATGGCTAGTCTAATCGAGACTTCTGGTGTAGGAACCATGCTAAAGACGACATGTATTCTATCAACTTGGCGCATATATCCTTCATAAATTCTTCTTTCAAGAGGTTAAGCCGACTATTGTAGTTGGCAACATTATTCTTGTTATGGAAAAGTTAGTTTCATCTAAGGTTATGGTCTTATTCAGAAAGTCAAATTATAATAAAATCCCTAGGAGGGAAAAACCTTTTAGACAGGAGATTTTTGTAGACCTTCATAGGCTTTTCTATTTTCTTTTTCTAGGCTTTCTTGAGACATCCTCTCATTTGTTAGTAACTAGTGAAATATTGCAAATTTTTAGGTGATTGGATTTGGAGTTGGTTTTACAAATTGAGTTAGGATGATTGATCTAAGTTTTTAGATCATTAGGAAGTGTAACTAGAGTTAGATGTATGACCTTAGTTTAAACTTATGCAGTGTAGAATCTTTGGAAATCCCAAAAAAAATTCTTTTTTAAGATTGGCAGTGAACGTAAAGGAATTAGTCGGTAGGATTATTTTCACATCTTGGAAATGGTATATTGAAATGATCTTCTGTAACTTGTGTAGCTTCTTCGATAGACAGTCTATTTTATTGTTGTGTTTGATCCAACAGTTGAAATCGCATGGCTGTATTAAATGCATGACTCTTTAACAACAGAGAATTCAGTTTCGTGCAATCTAGGGAACAGGTTCCTTTAACTCTATGCATTTTCTATAGAGAGTGAAAAAGATGAAAAGAAAAATAAAATGAGGGAGACTATTATTAGAGAGAACGAAAAAAGCAGGATGCAATTTCTGCAACAACATCAAAAAGTCAGAGGATCTGCTGCAATCTAGATGTTTGTTCTAATAATCTAACCTATACTTAACCTTTTTATGAAGATACTAAATTTGTTATATCTACATTTTCATCTTTGTCTAATGAAGCAAAAATTCTATTTCCTAAGAATGGTGCCTTTTAAATTTCCTTGCAATCATAGACATGGCTGTAACTATCAACTATTCATTTTTCTGTTTGTAAGCTTAACAAAAGTGACATGAGGCTATATTTTGATTCTTAATAGAATAGAAAAAGTTACAATATTAATGAAACAATTAATGTGATGCCTTCAATTTCAAAATTGAAAATCAAAATTTCAACATCCTTCTATAGTGATAGTCTAGTTTTACATTAAATCAACTTTAACATCCTTCAACAGTGATAGTCTAGTTTTACGATAAATCGAATTTAAACGGATTTAATGACACAGCACAGGATATTTTGTATGTATGCAAGTTATCATTTATTTCTATCATATCTTTTAGAACATGGACCACGACACGTCTTCAAATTTTTTTATTACTACGATAAAGAATTAAACTCAAAGCAATAAAGCTAAGTCAGAGGGGTGGAGATTGTCTCCATTGTAAAGTGTATTTGGTGTAATTTATACCACAAAAAAAAAATTATAAACAATTGTTATAAAAAATTTGATAGTGGGATTTAGCTCTGCTCTCTCTCCCGTGTACATTCCCATTGGAGACAATCTTTCTCCCAGTCGGAGCAATGATTCTGGAAGGGGAGTTAAGTCCTAGGGATATGTATATGATGGTATTATCTGCATTGTACCTATCACCCTCATTTATAACAGTTGGAAAGCAGTTATTTCCCACATCTTCAACTTTGTTTAGCTCTTGATATAACAAATTATGTTTTCAAGGATTAACTTAGTTCTAAATATCCCAACAATATTTAGAGATGTTAATTTGAGGATTTTCTCCAAAATATAGCAATTTTCACAATGGCTTAATGACATTAGTGAACTTACACTCTGCTCCTATACCTATGCTGCTGCTACACAGGCAAGAAGAACATTTCAACATCTGAGGGGAGCAGAGAATTTTGAAGCTTTAATTCAAGATCACATGGCCAGAGAGCAAACATCAACTACACTTAACTATATACATTCATGGAGTAGAATACAAGATCAAATTCGAGCTCGCAGAATCTGTATGATAACAGCAGCCAGGATTAAGCAGAGGAGATTGGAAAGCCAGCTAAAAATTGATGCTAAGATTAATGAGCTCGAGGTGATATTACTATTATAGTATTTCTCCTTTACTTTTAGCAATGTGAGGCTATTTTAGATATCGTTTCAATCTTAACACAATACGACATTTTGTAAATGTATGTTAGGCGGACTGGTGCAGTGGTTCTGAAACAATGGACGAGATAGTTTCCAGGATACATCAGCGAGAAGAAGCGGCAGTTAAACGAGAGCGAGCCTTGGCATATGCTTTCTCGCATCAGGTACATAATGAGTTCTACTTGCTTTAGCCTCCAGAAAACTTAAAATTTGATCACTAATGTGAAGCTGATATTGCAGTGGAGGCCAAACTGTAACCAGTATTTTGGCCAGGCTTCTTATAGCCTAAGTAAAGAAAGTTGGGGTTGGAGCTGGATGGAGCGTTGGGTTGCAGCGCGTCCTTGGGAAGTTCGGGTTCAAGTTCAGTCTCCCCAAACAAAGAAACTCAACGGCCAGCAGCAGAAAACCAAAGTAGATAAGATGAACCACAGTGAAACAAAATCACCATTGGCTAAAGCTGCCCTGTCAAATGGGAAGGAGACTGAGAAAGGAAAGAAAAACAAAACATAAGGGTTGCCAAAAAATGCTGGGGCAGAAAATTAGATGGATATTGGTTTCTTCATCTTCTTTTGAAGTTTAATTTTTCTATATTTGGCTTGTGAGAATCTACCATTTGGTTTGTATTGTGTCTCGTTAGAAGACTTTAACTTGTTATTTGCTTTTGTATGTATCATGAATTCCCTAGTGTTGGTTGAAACATGAGAGTGGTCTACTATTATTCCCTTCAATTCCGGAAAAGTGATTCTTCACCGGGTATTTTTATGCTAATGTATTAAGCATCAAAGATGGAATAGTTTTGTTATAATCTATAAGCCATTGACATGGGCATGAAAACAACAGTAACATTAATACTTTAACACCCATAATCATATGAGAAAATGAATGTTGTTGAATGTGGACGCGTGTGTCGGTGTCGTGTTAGTGTCAGACACTTGTTAAACAAACACCTGACATAATCTTCTTTTTACCTACAGTACTGCAATTATTTGTAATAAATAAATCATTGAAACAATAAAAATAATGTCTTCCCTTCCCAAAACAATCTGTGGAGAAGGATTCGATAAGTTAGCTTCTTTTGCATACTATCATCTACTTATTGCAAGGTTTCAGACAGATAAAGACAGGACATAGTTGGCTTTTTTATGGAAACATAGTCATTAATAATAGCCTTATTCTGGACATATGTAAACCCAGAATTGTGTCCTTGTAGTACAATGACCAATTAAACCATTTGAAGTAATGTTATTTATCAATGGACTAGAAGAACCAACAAATAACCCACAAAACAATTACTACATCTCAGCAGAAGCCAGTATTTCAATTTTGATTTATTCACTTTCCCTTTATGCAAGAGCATTTCCAGCTGTTCAAAATGTATTTTTAGACACTTATATCTCAGGGGAGTAGGGGACCATAGACAGATGAACAAGAAACACACTCTGGTAGCACTTATGGGTGTGAAATTGTTGAGCTTAATTGTGCACATCCCCTGCAGATGTCTTTCACTTTCCCCACTTGTTCTACTTACTAGAGTTAATCTACCCCCATTCAATGGATATTGGGTATGGACTGTGATCTGCAGATGCCACACTACTCAAAACCTCAGCTGACTTCAGGAACGATGATAAGGTGAAAAAAAATTTACCTAGTAGTATTTGGAAAGATTCGGAGTTTGATGAAACCACGATGACATTGTAGTTTGGTTGAAGTTCTAAAGTACAATTTTGCCAAACTAACGGTGGTACACAATGATTATGCCAAACTCCATTAATCAAAACATGCAACTGATCTTTTAATTCCCATAGGAAAGCTTATTAAGTTCCAAACCCAATGATAGAAACCACTTCCCAAAACCTGAAGTTGAAGCTTTCAGTTTTCCTTTGGGCTATACTGGAATCATATTCAGATTACTATAATTCATATTGTTTGTGCAATTAAGAAGAAACCCAGAACCGTTGGATAAGGGTCGGATCAGAAGACTATTTTTCCAGATTCATGTTGGAATCAACCGTCTAAGAAACATGGGCCGTCTGATCTTCATCTAACCGTAATAATTACTTAACTGCAATGACTGTAAATTTGTCACGGGAGAGAATCTAGGCCCCCAAATGAGCTGATTAAGTAGGTAAGCTACGGTTCATCGAGATTAACTTGGATCGTTTCCCATCCCTTTTTACTAAGGCCCCTAATCAACCCTTCAGTCACAATCATGAACCGTCACTTGCTAAACAGAAACTACATATATGATATGAGAAATGAAAAGCAGAAAACCACACACAATTTAGGAAATTTTACCTAATAGAAAGCTCTAAATCAACCTCACACGTAACTAGTTTCTTTAGTAAAACAGTTTATACTGTTTATAGACAATGACTTCTCAGCTATATGCTCCCAAAACTCAAGCATGAAAGAGATAGATCATAGACATAATAGTATGAAGAAGCAATAGAACATATGGTGAAAAGTCGCAATAGAAAACAGTAATAAAAAGTAAGGTGAAAGGTCGCAATAGAAAACAATAATAAAAAGTAAGAAAACAATCATTTCTAACAAAAGGAACACTCTTTCATCTCTTATCCTCATTCGAAACATGACATAACAATCAAACTAAACCTTGAGCATAAACTACAAGTTCATATTGTTGGCTTATTTGGGAATTTTCCCTGTTTTGCAACAGAGAGAAAGCTCACCTTTCATCTAGATCTTCACAAACATGGAAAGAAATATAGATGTGATGCATGTTTTAATACCAAAACTAAAACTTGATAACAAATTACACAATAGATATAGTAACTACAAATTGTAACAAATCATAAACAACATCAAACATAGAAATACATCAAAGATAAATAAACATACAAACAAACACAGTACTCTAACATGAAAAATAACATAACAAACTTGAGGATGGAAAACCTGAAAATTCAACTCCAGATTTTCTTCATTCCCCAAGCATAAACCATTGAAATGAACCATTCCAAATCCAACTCCTCACCTCGATCCAGCGAGAAACACAGCAAGTTCTCAACCAATCATCTTCTAAACAACCGCAAAACAATCACATATCAAATCGACTTCCAGATTTAGGGTTTCAAAGGCGAGTCTTGAAGGATAAGGAAACCAAGGTTAACAGTTTCAACGGCGAGAATCAGAGGAAGCAGACGATGGCCTGTCGCCATGCACCTCCTCATCATCACCTCCAATTCGTGCCGGCACACGGAAACCAGAAAAGCTACCAGAAGAAAATCCGGCACCAAACGCACCCGTAGCAGCCGTCTGACGTCGATAGTCAGCAGCAACAAACGTGGGCGCATCTATCCAAGCACGAACTGAAGGACTGTAACTGGACTGAAGGGGTCCCCTCTGAGAAAGATACTGATTCTGACCATACATCACCGCCGGAGAAGGCGAAGGAGTACGAAACACAAAACCTCCACCTGAAGCATCATCATCGCGATTATGATTATGATTACTACCAGTATCAATAGTAGCACCACCACCACTGCCACCGCCACAACCGGAATTCCAAGCTACCGGAATTCCATCAAAGTTTCCGGCAAATAGAACATTCTGATTCCGATTCTGTTGAAGCGAAAGACGCAAATCATTACTATCCGTTCTAGAAAGCAAATCAGGAGTGCTATTATTATAACTCTGAAACTGAATCGGCGACGTCGTTTCAGTTTCAAACGGAATGAAAGTGTTGCTATTGTTGTTACCATTAAAGTTCTGAAGAAAACGAAACTCGTTTTCATTAGCGTTTTCTTTCTCTTCTACGTCGTCGTTTTGTTGCTGTTTAGTACTAACAAGAGTGGGTTTCCATGGAGGAAGTTGCGCGAGTTGATCGATGGCGGGCTTGGCTTTATTAATGAGCCAGTCAAGGGCTTTACTGGGCCGGTCAAAGCCCAACCGATCTTGAACGTCGTAGAATTCAATAGCGGTGTGGGCCGATAACCGTACCCGGCGGTCTCGTGGGCCTTTCGCGGTGCAAACTTTACTGTGACGGTCTTTTCTTCCTCGTGACCGTATAATGTGACCGCCGTCAACTTCCACTATCTCACCGCCATTCATTATCCCTACATAATCAACTGAACTAGTTGTAGAACGACACCGTTTCTTTCCTCGTTGTGACGGTTCTACATGTTTTGGGCTTAATACGGTGTCGTTTTGAGGATGGGGTTGATGATGGGTGTTTCTTAGAGGATCCAGACTCGGACAGTATATGTTTTTGTTTCGGTGTTTTATCTTTTGTTTTAGTCTTGGTGTTGGTGGTGCTGATTGTTTTTTTCTTTGTTGTGAGAAAAGTTTTAGCCATTCAATATTGTTATTTCCATGCGAAATTGGAAATTTTGAAGTACAATTTAGGTCAGGGTAAGAGAGAAAGAAAGAGAATGGAATGGTATAGGGATGAGGAATCGAATCGATTAGAGTGGCAGTGGTTTTTGGTTTGGTCAGAGTGAGAGTTAAAAGGGTTAAAGTTTGTCTGTGATTTTCATCACTGCTGTTCTTGTATTCTAGTACTGGTGTGTCTAAGCTGGATGCTACTCATAATAATACATGGTACTACTACTACACCAACCATTCTATAATTCAATTCAATCAACACAACTCGGATTAAACTCTACTCTTTCTTTTCTATGATCATAACTAGTATAACTCTTTTAACTATCCTTTTTAACACATCCATTGATATGGATCCCTTAAGTTTGTAATTACGGGTTAACACGGTTTTGTTTTATTTCTCAGATTAGAATACATAACCTTTAATTAAGCTAGAAAAATTGTTAACATTTTCATTTAAATATTATTAAATTATTCTCTCTAATCATCTTTATAAGAGAATTTGGACAACAAAAGTTACTATATTTGTTTTTAAGAGATAAAATATTCATTTTGAACTCTTATCTATACATTTGAGTTCATATTGATCTATTTCTTTAACTTTCAAAACATTTGAGATAAAATTAGTTGCTTCTGAAATAGTTTTTCTTATTTGAGAAATAGAAATTGAAAGTTTGTTACGATTCAATTTTCTCTCTCTTTCTCTCTGCAAATTTTCTTTCTTTTTCATCTTTAATTCTTGTGCATCAATGGAGGTGTAAAGTCCAACAATTGGTATCCAGAGTTTCAGTTTTGTTCACAAGGAAATACAAGTATATGTGAGGTGTGTGATTAATTTCGTTCCTCAAATTCACACTGAATTGAAGTTCAAAATCGAAGAGAACCACATTTCTTGATGCTTAGGGATTGGGAAACACGAGCGTTTGTGAGAATTGAGTGAATTGCACAATAACATAGATGAACGGCAAAATAGTAGCTTGAATACAAAGCTTTCAGTATTATATGGAAATAACTAGAATCGATGGTCGATTCAGATGTGTGTGTTATTTGGTGTCCAAAATGTTCTTGATCTCGTCAATGACATTTATACGCCGTTTATTAAATTTGTAGCAGACGTGCAAATAAATGTGCAACGTGAAACGAGGAAGAAATAAGGCATTGTTCTATATCCATCAGTGTGCGAATATAAAGGTGTTTGAGAAGATTGTCGACTCAACGATGGCAAAGGCAAAGTGTGATACACTAGTGTGTTGCTATGGTGGTGACGCGTTAGTAAAGAAGGTGAAGTTACATCCCCTACGCAAGCAAAATGTGAATCTTAGCATGAAGGATAATGAGAAGGTACCTGATTACATCTCCAGAGTGATTGTAGTCACGAATGAGATGAAGTCTTGTGGAGAAACATTATCAGAACAAGTAATCATTGAAAAGGTATTAAGATCACTTGCTCCTCAGTTTGATTACATAGTTGTAGCTATATGACACTCTAAAGTCACCAGCACCATGAAAATTGAAGAGTTTCAAAGTAGTCTAGAGGCACAAGAATTGCGTCTAACTGAAAGGAACTCTGAAAGGGAAACTGCACAGGCTCTGAAAACTTCTTTTGTCAAGAAGAACAAGAAGAAAGCGTGGTTAAATAACAAGAAAAAGAATGGTGGTGGTGCTCAGAACTCAGAATCCTCCAATCCAAATGAGAAGAAACATAAGAATGTTCATAAGAGAAAGGAAAAGTTTGATAAGAGAAAGGTTCAATGCTACAATTGTAACAAGTTTGGCCACTTTACTGATGATTGTTGGTCAAAAAAGGAGAGAAAAAGGTGAAGAAACCAACAAAGCCAGAGGAGATTCTAAGGATGAACTTGTGCTATTAAAGGCATCTTAGAATGAAGGTGGAAAAATGGTAGATTGATGGTATATGGATATTAGCTGCTCAAATCACCTAATTGGAAACAAGCAATGGCTGGTTGACTTTGACTCTAGTTGAAAGACCAAGATCATATGTGTTGATAATGAGTATCTGAATGCTGGAGGAATGGGAAATGTCATAGTGAAATTGCAAAATGGCAAAACTACCCTGATTAAAGATGTACGGTATGTTCCTGGCATGAATAACAATCTAATGAGTGTATGTCAGATGCTTGAAATTTTTTTTCAATAATCATGAAGGACAATCTCTTGAAGTTGTATGAGTGTAACCAGAGGCTAATTATACATTTTGAATTAGGAAGAAATAGGATATTAAAGGTGAATGTTGAAACAACAGACACTCAATGCCTTAGCGCAACAAGTGTTATAAAAGAGAGTGAGATGTGGCACAAGAGATTAGAGCATTTGAACTTCAGAAGCTTACGGCATCTGAGTTCAAAGAATCTGGAACATGGAATTCCAAATATTGCGGCACCAAAGAAATCATGTGATATATGCATGAGAGGCAAGCGACCAAGATTACCATTTTCATCAGAAATGCCTCCAAGAGTAACACATGCTTTGGATGTGGTTCATTCTTATGTATGCGGGCCATTTCTAGTACCTTCAATTTGAGGGAACAAGTACTTTGTGTCTTTTATGGATGAGTTCACAAGAATGACATGGGTAACACTCATAAAAATCAAACACAAGGTGTTTGTTGAGTTTAATAAATTCAAAGTGAAGACTGGAAATCAAAGTGGACAAAGGTGAAAGATCCTTAGAATCGATGGTGAAGGTGAGTTTAACTCTGCAAAGCTCAAAAATTTATGTAAGGAGAATGGTATTGAGCATGAGGTGACTGCTCTATATACTCCATATCATAATGGTCCTGCTGAGGGAAAGAACAAAACTCTACTTGACATTACAAGAAGCATGTTGAAAGAAAAGAATTCGCCTTACACATTTTAGGGTGAAGTTATTGCCACAACATCTTATGTGCTTAACAGATGTCTAACAAAGAAGTTAAAGGAAGTAGTTCCTCTTGAGAAATGAATTGGAAGAAAATAAAGTGTGAGCCATCTAAAGGTGTTTGGTTTTCTATGTTACAAACATATATAGATGCTACCATTAGGAAATTGGATGACAGAATCAGAGTCATATTGCTTATAGGTTATCACAATACATGTGCTTATAAGCACTACTTCCCAGTCACCAACAAAGTTGAAGTCAATGGGGATGTCATAGTGAAAGAATAAAGATGTGGGATTGGAATAAGTCTCAATCCTATGGAAGTAATTTTGACTCTGAAAGATAACCTGCCTCTGAAGGAAATGTTGTCTCTGAAGGAGAACCTGATTCTGAAGGTAACTCTAAGTTTGCAGGAGAATTTTCCTCTGAAGGAGATCCTGCCTCTAAAAGAGACTCTGACTATGAAGGTGAGTCTGACTCTGAAAGAGAATCTGACTATGAAGGAGAGTCTGAATTTGAAGGTTAGTCTGACTTTCAAAGTGAGTCTGATGGTAATCTAGAATCTGATTGTAATCCAACCTTTAAAGGTGATCCAACCTCTGAAAATAGTTCTGCCTTTAAAGGTGGAGCTTATGAAGGTGTTCCTGACTCTGAAGGTGAACTTGCACCGTTCTAGAGCCCATATAGAATTAGATAGATACCAAGGAAACTTGCAGATTCTGAGTTGCTGCATGATACTGAGATTGACTCTACAGGTGAAGTCATACAGTGTGCAATTATGATGGACTTTGAACCAGTCAACATTGATGAAGCTCTTAAGAAGAAGGTGTGGATGAATGACATAAAGGAATAACTTGTGGTAATTAAAATAAATAAGACATGAGAGTTGACTATTTTCCTAAAGAACAAGAAATACATCAGTGTGAGATGGGTTTTCAAGATAAGCTTGAAACCAGATGGTTCAGTTGCCATGCATAAAGTAAGGTTAGTAGCTAGAGGATTTCTACAAAAGTTTGGTTTATGCTACTTTTAAGTGTTTGCATCTGTAGCTAGACATAAAATAATCAGACTGGTGATTACTATAGCTGCAAGTAGGAATTAGCCTCTGATACATTTATATATGAAGTCAACATTTCTAAATGGTCCATTACAAGAAGAAGTGTATGTGTTACAACCTTCTGAATTTGTAATAGAGAATAAAGAAGGGGTGGTGTACAAGTTGCATAAAGCCTTGTACAGATTGAAACAAGCTCTAAGGGCTTGGAATTTGAAAATTAATTCATTTTTCAAGCATCAAAGATTAAAGAAATGTGAAATGGATTATGGTGTGTATGTGCAGCATACCTCTAACGGAGATGTGATTTTGGTGTATCTCTATGTAAATGATATACATATAACAGGGAGATGTACTTATGAGATAAACAAGTTTAAAAAGGTGTTAATGAATGCTTTTGAGATGATTGACCTTAGAAATATGGTATATTTCATAGGGATTGAGATTTTACACTCTAAAACGGGAATCATTGTGCACCAACTGAAGTATAAACTTGAGTTGCTGAAGAGATTTGGGATGATGAATTGAAAATCTATAGTCACACCTACTGAGACAAACCATAAGCTGGATTCTGATGCTGATGGTAAGGAAGTATATACTACAACTTTCAAACAGTTGGTTGGCTCTTTGAGATATCTGTATAATACTAGGCCTGACATATGTTATGCAATTGGAATGGTAAGTAGGTTTATGAGTAAACTAAAGTGGTCACATTACCAAGATTCATTTAGGATACTCATGTATGTAAAGAGGACTCTGAGGTATGGAATTATGTTTTTATCTGGAGTGACAGATTCTA